ATATAGAGTAAGTGCGTGTGTCGCAGTCCTAGAGCCCGAAAATTGATGCCCTAGGCACCTGTTTTCGGCCCCCTAGAGCACCGTCGCGTGTACCGGCCAGGGTTATGTTTATATACCTTCCTAAGTCTACTAACGCCACGCCCACGGCGGCTACGTAGCCAATATGGCAAGAAACGGGTTCTAGTAAAACGAGGACTAGGATAAAGGGATAAATACGCGCTTATAGGCCGCTATAGATTCTTCACGGAAACTTTAGAGCGGTAGCTTGTAGTACGTATATAACAACACATTGAATAGACTCTAACACGGCGATGCTAGGTTTCAGGCTTGCTAAATATCAGTAGCGGCTTTAAGAACCGGAGACGCCCGGGCCCGAGCCGCCTACGCGGAATGAGTTACGATAGTTATAGCAATTAGGAAATAACCGGCGGCCTATTAGGCCTAGGAACTCGGAGGGCTATAAAATTAACGTTATGCGTCTTAAGAAACGTTAGCGTAAGTACTGCCTCGAAGTAGGAGAAGATAACTAGAAAGCTCTTCTAAGGTCACTCTTATACGATAACCGAGGGATTGCCGACTCCTTTACGACGTATTTAGTCCGTATCTCCTATCTCCGCTTAGGACGATATATTAGCACTAAGAGTACTATTACGGCCCGTTATGCGACCTTCACGTGCACCCTATATTTTCTTACTTATCACTAGTACGCTCACTTACACACAACACCGTGATCGCTCGGTTCTAAGTAACGATCATTACGATCATTCCTAGGATCGTAGCGACTATAAGAACGATCATTATAATCGCCTCACAAACCCTAGCGATCGCCTAGTTGTGACGGTTGGTACGACTCTGGGCTACAGGGTAGTCAGAGAAGTGTCGGTTTTATGTTGGCGAGGCCGTTAGGGCGTCTAACTGAGCAATAAGGCAGTTATAGTCGTAGGTGCTAATTATAGAAGGAACTAGAGTTCTAAAAGAAGCGTTAACTATTGTATTAATAGCTAGGTAAAGAGTGACTATAATATAGAAATAAGGTTGACTATATACTAGGCGATCGCTAGGGTTTATAAGTCGATCATAACGACCGTTCTAGTGGTCGCTACGATCCTAGGAGCGATCGCAATGATCGTTGCTTAGAGCTAAGCGATCGTGTGTAAGTAGGTGTAATGACGACAAGTAAGGAAAAAGAAAATATAGGGTGCACGTAAAGGTCGCATAACGGGCCGTAACACGATGCCCCTCTTCTAAGGATCTTATCCTAAGATTATATATAAGCGTTCTTGTCCCGTCTATTGGTTATTTCGTAAGTTTTTCTTCCTTTATCCCTCCCTTTTACTATATCTAGCCGTGTTGCTAAACGTTCTTAAAAATCGTCTATAGACGCTAGAAGTCGAAAAGTTCGTCTCCTTAAGACGATACTTAGAAATTCTATTAATATGCCTTCGTGTTCTTTTTACTAAGGCCGTGGCCTGTCGTCCTATTAGGTTTCTTAGCTTAACTCTTCTTAATGCGCCGAGTGTGTGCGCTTTAATAAGGCATCCTATAATGTATCTAGCCCGTCTCTCTCGTAACTATAGAAACTCGTAAGGAATCACTCTAAACTTAAGTTAGATCTCGAAGAGGCCGAGGAGGAATGTCGTCGTATAGAAGAAGAGATAATTAAGGCCTGTCGATAAATAAACGCGAAAGTCGAGCGCCTTTAAAAATAAAAGAAATTATAGTTCGAGAAGATAATACGAGTAGTATCGCGTGGCATTAATTTAGTAGAGGAGTTAGAGCGTATAGAAAAGGAGGAGGCGGAACGCGAGGCATAGCGTGCTACTAAGGAGCGTCATTCTCTAAGCGGGGGTTTATTCTTAGATATCGAGATTAATCCGCTCTTACTATCTAATAACGTGGCGTTATCTCTATTATTTTTTACTAGTATAGGCGTTACTAGGGAGTCGTCTTCGTCCGCTAGGGTTTTAAATAATTCTAGTAAAACTATCGTACGAGGCGAAGGTAGTTCTTAAGATATTTTATAGGTTCCTATATATTTTTAGTATCGTTATATCCTTTCTATTTAACTAAATATTATATTTCTCTTTATAGTTCTTATTTATCGATAATTCATTTAGGTTTATATTCTTCTTTATATACTTCGATATATAGCTATTATTTTACGTTTTATAGTGCGGGTTTTAGTAATAAAATATAAAAAATAGGGTGTATCTTTATTATAGAAGGTAGTAATGGTTTATAGTTAGTATCTAAAAGTACTTCTTTAACCTTAAATAGTCTAATTTTCTTAAAGTCGAGCTTTATATTTAG